TTATTTTCATGAAGAATAATATTTTTTACCAAAAATTCAATTATTTTCAATTATTTTCATAAATAATAAAAATCATCGCAGAATTTCAATTATTTTGAATACAATTTTAATGGAATTTCTCGAAAAATGTCATTATTCTTAAAAATTTTATTATAATTCATCAAAAAGAAAAATTCAATTATTTTAAAAAGCCTTCCTATAATTTATGTATTATTTTCAAAAATTTTAATCAAATTCTTTTTAACAATTCAATTTTTTTTCAAAATAATTTTAATAAAATTCTTCGTAGAATTAAATTAATTTCAATAATTTATCAAAATTCAATTATTTTAAATATCTACGTATTTCAATAAAATTTCATAAAAGAATTCAATTATTTAAAAAGCAATATATCATTAAAATTCGTCTCAAGAATTCAATTATTTTCAAAAGTAATAAAATTCTTCACAAAAATTCAATTATGCGGTCAAAATTTTTAAAAAAATTCTCGCCAAAATTTCAATTATCTTTATAAATAATAAAATTATTCTTCAAAATTCAATAATTATTTTGAAAAAATTTAATAAAATTCTTGGCAAAATTTCAATTATTTTCAAAAACTTTTCTCAATTCAATCAAATTTTTTTTTACAGAGATTCAATGATATTTTTAATGTAATTTTAATCTAATTTCTCGAAAATGGAAATTATTCTTAAAAATTTTATTAAAATTCGTCAAAAGAATTTTAATTATTTAAAAATTTGTTGATAAATTCAAAAGCAAAAAGTCAGTCACTAATTCGAAAATAGTAAACATTTTTACTAGTTCAAATTTAAAGAGAAAGTATTATAGCGTGAATTTTTAGAAATAATTGAATTTTGAAAAGGTTTCAAATTATAATCTTTCAAAGTTTGAATTTTTCATACTTTTAACTGAAAATTGTGTAGATTTAATTTTTTTTAAAGTTTAATGCAACTTTTTTGAAATTATTTCAAGTTTTTATTTTCTAATATATATTTAATTGAAGAATTTCCGAATAATCGATGAAATTTCGTAAAATTGAATTGTAAAGAAAAGAACTTGAAAATTTTTAAAGAAATTTTTAAAAAATTACACTGAAAAAAAAATTTAATTGATTCAAATATTTATTTAATTGATTATTATCAATTAAATATTTACTTGAATCAAATAATATTTATTGAAGTTAATTAAATGGTATTTGAACCAATAAGTAGTATTTAGTATTTGAATCAAAAACCATTTAATTGACTCCAATAAATATTATTTGATTCAATTAAATATTTGATGGATAATAGTCAATTAATCGGTTAATTGAATCAATTAAATTTTTTCTTCAGTGTATTAAAAATGAATGAATAATTAATTTAAAGAAGAATTTTAGTTAAAAATTGTAGAAAATAATTGAATTGAAATGAGAATAATTTTGATGAAGTTACAGTAAGAATATTCTTATAAAATATAAATTAATGATTTTATCAGTCGGTCATCTTTCTTCATGTTTTATAACAATTTTTTGAAAATTGTTTAATTTGAATTTGAATCTTTTGAAGAATTTTAGTTCTTATGGAAAAATAATAATGATTTAATATTTATTCAAAAAAAAGTAGTGGAACATTTTTCAGAGTAATAATTTTGAAACTGATTGAGAATATTCTTTAGAGTCAAGAAGTAAGAATTTTGTCTGGAATTTAATTTCGTCAGGGAGAAAGAAAATTAAATGTTTGTTGTCAACAAATGTAGTTTTAAAAACCTGGAAAACCTGGAAAAGTCAGGGAAGTTGAAATGAGCAAAAGCGTGGCAACCCTGAAGGATAATAATTGTCTATTATTTTCTTTATATTCTATATACTGTATGTATATGAAATTCTCATTTGATTAAATTTATTGTAAATTAATTGATGTTTATAATGTAAATTTTTTTATTTATGACAAAAAGCTACTTTTGTGAATTGAATAATAAGAGAGTTCGTTTTAATTTTTTACATTTAAAGTTTAATAGTTATAACAAATGCTGAGAAAAGTTGTGATATGTTGTATATATATAGTTGCATGCTTGTAATTGAGAAAACATGAGAGACATCATATTAAACCAAAGACAATTTGCGTGAGTGTATAATACATGTAATGAGATATCTCTCACGTATCTTTTCTCATTACCAACAATTCCACATTGCAATATGCGGCAGAGCAAACAAATAATCACTTTGGTGTAACTATAAACACAAGTGAAAACGATATAGGTATGGACTTTTAAAAGACAAAGTCGTTTCATTGGCAAAAATTTTATTTTATAAGCTGATAGTACTTTCTTGGGTCAAGAAAGCACTTACTTTCCATCTGGAAACAGTTTTTCGATTAATTATTCAGATAAACTGTAGATCATTGATCTATGTACGTAGATCATTGGTTCGTAGATCTTTGTAGCATATGCAATTGGTCCATAGATCATTGGTTCGTAGATTATTGTACCAAATACAATTGATCCATATAGATCGTTATTCTGCCTATGTTAATTCATAGATCATTGATTTATAGATCATTCTTCTGTAAATAATTGATCCATAGATCGTAAATTATTTATCCCTAGATCATTGATCCGTACATCATTAATTTGCAAATTAGAGTAAATAATAAATAAATAAATAAAATGAATAAAATGGAGAATATTTTGAATATACTTTCGTTTTAATGGTAAACTTTCCCTTGAATTTTTACCATTGATAAGTATTAGGGTTTTTTTCTCTTTGCAGTTTAAATAGAATATAATACATACTTATTGAATGTTATTATGGAAATGTTTGAAAGTCAATTACAAGTTATAGAATGTGATGTTAATGGTATATTGCTGACATGTTTGCAGTGTATGTAAAGAGGAATATAACATTTGATGAGTAGTAATAGTGATGAACGACACGCCAAAAGAAATTGTGCCAAGTGCAGTTGCGTTCTCTGTCTCTATTATTTTCTAACGACTTTCACTAAATGGAAGGGAATTTTTTAATTGTCAGCGGGGGCGTTATTCGAGATTAGAAATTCAATGAAGTGATTCTCATTCTTGAACATGACAACTTTCTTATGGCCATTTGTGAGTGGGAAAAAATTGGTTTTTGTATAAAAACAATTATCGATTTAATTAAAGCAGGTTTGTTTTTGAAAGATGTCATTAGGAGAAAAAGGAGGAAATATTACGTCTTTTTTTGTAATTATGTTTCAATTCTCTTGTATAAGATCTCTTGTATTGTTTTAGATTAGATTATTGTAAAAGTGCATTATTTTTCAATTTTGAATTTCATTAAAAATAGGGGAAAATATATTGACGCCATTATTGGGCCAGTTTGGAGCCAGTATTGACAGAATACTGTCAAAACTATTTGTTAATTGAATAATTAATTACCTCAAATTGGTAAAATCTTGGGTCAACACTGGCTCACTGTCTATATAAATTAACCAGTATTTTGCCAGTTTTGAACCAGTACTAAGCAATCATTTAAAAATTATCAAATAATTTCTGTTGTCCTGGTTCAAAACTGACTCCATTAAAATTGACGTAAAAATGATAATTTTTGAAATTTCAGAGTAGCAAACAATTTTCTTATTAATTTTTCAATTATAAACTTTATAGAATTTATAAAATATAAAATGCAGAAATATTCAATTTTTATTTATAAAAAAAGATATCTAAAATTTAAAAATAGAATATAAATCCTCGAAGTACCGTTCGATAGCTCGATTTAAAACTACTGCCAGCAAGACCATCGTTGTGCCCTCTGTTGATTTAACCATATACTTTCAAGCGCATTACCGACACAGTAAAAGTAATTTAAACAAAAAATTCTCAACTTAAAATTTAACATTATTTTTTACTCTTCTCATTACCTTATTTCTATCAATTTTTATTTAATATTGTTTAGAATTTTTTTTATATTTTGTATTCTCTTAGTACTATTTTTATTTATTTACTTTAGTATTTTTTCATTTTCTTTTTAGTATTCTATTTTAAAATTTTATGGTTTCTTTTGCCTTTGTTCCAAGGTTTTGAAAAAGATTTATTCAAGATTTATTATTAAATAAATTAATTAATTTATTAATTACAAAATAAATTATTTCATTTATTAAATTAATTCGATTTATATTTTAAATTCTGACATTGATTCCATTCTGTTTATTAAATTTATGTAATTCCATTCAATTGTTTTCTCCCTAAATTATTTTTTCTTTTTTTTATGTATTGGATTATGAAAAATTACTTTAAAATCAAAAATATGCTTTAAATTAAGTTGATCTCTTATAATAATATTCAAGGAAACAATAGAAAACAATATTTTCTTTCATGAATTCAATTATATTTCTTTTAATTCTATTAAAGATAAATTATTTATTAAAACAAAAAAAATTTTCTAAAATAATTAATGTAATTTTTATTTATTGTAATAAAAATGTTTTCTTTTCTGAAATGCCAACTTTTTTTTATTTCTGAATTCAGTCACATATAATAAATTATTGAAAATATATTTAAATTGATTGAAATAATAGAATATTTCGTTTACTTGCATACATTAAGAATTTTTTGGATAATAAAATTATTGAACACTATACATGTATATAATGGATAGTCAAATAACCGAATGTAATACGAATAACTGATAACAAGTTATATTTACGATGCTGTTTTTAACACTTCATTTACTAATCATTAAAATTAATTAATAAAATAAAATAATATTATTTATTTTAACTGTTTGATAAACAATAGTCGCTAAAGGAAATTATCTATACACTGCCTATACAATTATAACGACAATTTGTATCTACATTATTTGAAAATAATAGTATTGTAAATTTACTATACAATTCAAAAACATGAACACATAATTTATTATTCATTATTTGTACAAATTATTTTTCACCAAATTATCAAAAAAAAAAAATAAATAAATAAATAAAATTGGATAAAATTAAATTTTAAAATCAATTGATAAATTATACTTTTAAATATTAAAAGTCTTATTATTAAAAAAGGGTAATTGTGACAAAAATATATATAATTTAATTTTAAGAAAATAATTTCCATGAATTCATAGCATTTAGAAATTGTATACTAATTTTACAATAAATTTTTTTACAGTGCAAACAGAATAACAATGCGACAAATCATTCAACATTAATTCCCTCCCCTCCCCCTCCCTTCCCTGCCAAATTTAAAGCTTTTGTGTCACACTGCTACAATTACAAGTAACACAGCAAATATAATGCTTAAAATACTATTAACAAGGAGGAGATATCAAAAGTAAAATCTCTAACAAATTTCTATTATGTTTTTTTTTTGTTTCTTTAAATATATACTTTAACTAATTTATTAGATAAAAATAAAGTTACTTTGCATTTTCGATTAAAAAAAAACAACTTTTCCAAAAGTCTATTTTTATCGACAATTAATTTTCACACGCATAAAGACTACATTTGTAAAAGGAAAATAATTCTTTAATCTCGGCTTTTTTTTAAAAATAAATTATTACCGACTGTCAATACAGACGAGAGAATGCCCTGACTTGGTAACTACTCTTTAATTGTCGATTATTATCGATTTTGCCCCTTTTTTTTCTCTACAAACTTCACAAGGGTTCTCGAAATATTATTGAAAAGTTGATAATCGAAAAAGCAAATTTTCCGTAACGTTTTTTTCTACCTCATCCTTGCATATTATACATTTACTCATTTCACACAAACTTACACCCATCAACAATACTTGAAAAAAAAAGTAAAAAAAAAAGTACCAATCACTTTGAAATCTCACTTGCTTTGAGCAAAGTCCCAAAAAGAAACGTAAATTGGTTGTTATACTCAAGAAAAAAAAAATTTCTCATGAATCGTTTTTGATTCCTGATTTTTGTCGATATTTTTTTTTTTGGTGGAAACATGAATAAAATTATTTTCATTCGAGAATTTCATTCTCAGAAATATTTCATTTTTGATCCACTTTTTGTTTGTATACTTGTCACGATTTAAATCTAGTTTAGATTGTTTTTTTGTTTGTTTTCATTCTTTAGTGATGCGTTGGTACACAGTACGCACTGTAGGTCTTAATGTCCATTCCAGCGTATGATCTCGCCGATATCGATCCTGGATCCGTGTGTTTCTTCGGACACCTGAAACCTTTATGACATTGACACAATGGCGACACTGAGACATCTTCGACGGCAACTTCGTTCTTGTTCCTCTTGCGAACAGTGAAAAGTTTGCATGGCTCCTTCTTGGCGCACTTCATTTTCTGTAAAGATGGAGAAAAAGGGACAAATTAGCTTTTAAGTGTCGTTTGTAATTGCTTTTAAAGTTTTTGATAAAGTAGGAGAGAAGAATGTTTGTTCTTTGGTCTATTAGGTCGATAAAACAAGAATGAATGTATCAAAATTTTTGGTTTAATTCAGTTCTTTTCATCTGTTGAGTTTCCTATCTATGTTGTGTCGATAAAGCAGAAATGAATTTGTGAAAAATAGTGATCTTACACTAGCGATGCTTACACTTTGCGGCGAACACCCAAAGTAGTAGACGGGAACATAAACTCCTTTGGGTGTCAAGTGTGCTTCTCGTTTTAGTAGATAAGGAACTCCACCTGGACGACATCTGCAATGGACTCGCTGTACTGTCGAATTCATTGGACCTCCGAATGGTTGCAACGACCACGTTACGTCTCTGTAAAGAAAAAAAAGAAAAAAGGTCTTTATTAAGAATGAATATCACCATCCTCCCTAAGATTCTAAGTAAATTTAACCATTTCGACTTTACGTGGATATCAAAAGGGAGACTCACTTGAAGTAACGGCAGAACGGAATACGTTTAACGGCTTCACAAAGTTTGTACTGTCTCGTTCTGTCGGCAAGTGTGTGACCGTCATTGGCATTGGCAGTGCTGGGACATGATCGTCCACCGGGACAACGACACTGTCTCTCGACCCAAGGAGCGCCGTACAGGTCCACTTTACTGCAAATCTCATTTTTCGACGAACACTCCGGCAGGTCGTCTTCGCCAACCTAGAAAACAAACAAAAATATAAATTAATAATTGCTTAGAGTCCGTGACAAAATCATATAGCCCCAAGCAACCTGTAAGCTTGCTGAAATCTCTAAACAAACTTGAGTTGCAAGTTTACTGCATACTTATACGCAGGTTATAGGAATAGTTCTTTCTTTTCAAGTATATTTACAGAAATAGTGCCTACAATATTATTATTTATCACCTCCATGCAAAAGCAATAAATATATTCTGCGAATGTAAATCGAGGATATAAATTATATTGAGAAGTTGCTATAAAGGACATTTAATGCTGACATTGGCAGGACGTTTATGACTCGCGAAGAAGGGCTCCCAACTACATTTTCAAGTGAATATACGCTCTGTTGAATACATTTTAGAACATAATTATAATTTAACGTCGAAATTCGTTTTGCGGAATGGCATTAACTCGTAATTTAAGTCAATCGCGGACCACCCCGCACATCTCCACAATTCATTGCATTTAAGAACATTTTAAACTTTGCTATTTAGCCTAAAATTTAGCCCTATTTAGCCCTTTCCTCCAATTGATAACTGCTATTAAAAAATTCAAAATGGCGGATTCAATATGGCGGAAGAAAGAAAGAAACCTTAAAATAATTTCTACTTAGGGTTTTTTCGGAGTCACTGATTGCGATTTCGACATCAGTTTTTAAAAAATCAAAATATCGGATTAATACTTGAAAAAAATTGTGCTGAGGGATAAAAATTTCTTTTTCACAGTTTTTAATTCTTGGACTCAAAGTGTAAATATAGATTTAAAATCAGCCAATTATGCAATCTCCTTCATTGCGCCTTAAAACCGGCTTCATTTATACTCAAACGTTAGAGTGAATGTCGTTTTGCTAGGTGCTATTTACACATAATAATTTTATTATTCAACAATCATTATATAAAAAAAACTCAATAAACATTTATATATTAATTACAATAGCTAATTAAAAAATGTTACACAAATATTTAAATGTTGTGATTTGTAAATAAATCTAATCACAATAATTAATTGGAAAAATGTTACAATTACAAACGTTTAAGTATATTTATAGAAATTTAATTAATTTTTAATTAATTTATAATGATTTTAAATTAATTTAAAATGTTTCGAATTGCAATTCCTAGGACTATATATTTTGAAAGCAACAAAAAGCAACATTTCTTTGCAAGTGATGCTGCAAAATATTCAAGTTAAGCGGATATTATTCTACTTACACAGTCGCATCATTTTTGAAATACATACAACACACGTGTGCAAACAAACGAAATTCTATTCGGCTACTGGTATTACGAAGTGAAGTCCCATAGGTATTGTATGTCCCAAACTCAGGTAGACATCAACTTTTTCTCTCTTTTTCTTTTTTTAAAAAAATCATGTTACGCCTACGTTCTTATATATATACACTTCCTTAATCATTTCCATTAGCACCAGGTGCTTTCTTTTCACACATTTTTCCAAAAAGCCCTCCTTCTCCTCCTCATCCCTATTTCCACTTTAAATGATCAATTGGAGAGGGGGTGGAGAATTTTTTTTATTGCACAACAATATCTTTTCTTTTTCGAAAACTCGATCTCAAAATTTATACACTTTTTTTCAGAATAAATGAATTATTTTAAATTTTACCTCATTTAAATTTCTACCTTGTGCCATTTTTAAAATAATGTCCTTGTATTATTTTTAAAATAATGAACCTACCTTGTTTTAAAAATGATATTTTTTTCAAAATAGCAACCCTACATTATTCTAAAAATTTAAACCTTATGTTATTTCGAAAATAATGTAGGCTCATTATTTTTAAAACAAGGCAGGATCATTATTTTGAAAATAATGACCCTACATTATTTTCAAAATTATTTAAAAATTTAAACTTACGTTACTTTAAAAATAATGATCCTACCTTGTTTGAAAAATAATGACCCTACATTTTAGTTAGAACATTGTCCTCCCATTATTTAAAAAAAAATCTGCTGATTTAAAAGACTCAAAATGGCGGGGAAATTTTTAAAAAGAAACGATAAACTATCAAAATTGTTAGCCAGGGGTTTTCAGAGTCACTGAACTCGAATTTAGAGGCAGTTTTTCAAAATTTCGAATAGACGAGTTATTCAGAAGAAAAAACCCTAACAAGTCCTTATAAAATGTCGAGATACGTTACATCAGAAAACTTTTTTTTTTTTCTTCAAGTTGTATTGTCCTAGAATTTTTGTGTATAATATATTATTTAGCGTTGAATGCACACATACACACACATATATGTTTTGAACTTGGGATGAACATGTGCGCATAAATCTTTGTCCTTGAGTGCCTTCGGACAAGATTGTAGGTACATAACATTCTGTGTCTATTGACCTTTAACGTCTTTTTCAATGGAAAGCAACTCATGGCAATTGAAATGCTTTTCAAAAGTCATCTTTACAGCTTCAAAAAAGAAAAGAAATAAAAAACAGGTCGTGTGTGTATGTTGATTGATCTATCGCTCTCTCTAAGAAATAAATGTAAATGTATTCCACGGTAAAGTTTACAGGAAGTTGGGACCAAGTCGCAGAAGATTCAATTCTCGATAAAGGAAAAAATAAACATTTTTTTTTTTATTCTTTTTCATTGTTCCGTGAAAAACTCGAAAGTCGATCATATCATAAGAGAAGCCCTCCGCTCTCCTTCATCGCAAAAATAATGTAATCAGAGAAGAATTTTTCGAAAATCTCATATATTGGAAATTTAATATTGTGTTTATTATATAGAAAAAAGCCTGTTTCTTAACTGCATTTCAATTTCAAATTCGTAGTTATAACGAAATCGTATTTCATTTGCATGCAAATGACAAGTTATGAATGAAGATTAGCAAATAGAATGAAAATTTAATTAAAATACAACTTTTCAAGTGCGTGTAGTTGTGTGTGTGTGTGTGTGGGTAAATATAAAAAGATTGTTTCAACTTGAGAAACGCTGTTGTCCAGTGGTTCTCAAGTGGTTCAAGTAAAGTTCAATATGGAGGCGTCGCGTACAATCACCCATCTTGCAGCAGGTGAATGGATTCCGTGTCCAAGGATAAATGACCGACGAGTAAGTACTACGTTGCTTTTAGCAGCACGTGGGATCCGTAAAACCTCGCAGGTCAATAAAAACAATTTTATAGTCGCTATCGACCAATTTTATCATCGAGATTTAATGGATTGCCATTCCGACACCTTCAGTTTCTGTATTATATACATGTAATATTAATACTCTTGTACTCGGAACAAAATTTATTTCAAATAAATTAATTCTAGTTTCAACAACCAAATGTATTGCTTATTGCTCTACTCGGAATTTCGTTTTAGGACTCATCAGAAAGACATTAAATTGAGGTAACCAAACTTTGGTTCAAATGAACAATCTTTAAATGAATCTTTAAATAAATCTTTATTGCTACAAGAGTTACTATTTTTAATAAACAATGTAAGGCTATACTTATGTGAAAATTTCACAAATAGTCAAAAATGGAAAAGTAAAAATAATAAACGTACTGAAAATAATTTTACTGAATTTCCAATACTATTTTCAACTCTATTTGAAAGTATAACTAATGTTCTATACACCCTCTATAACAATAAAAATCTATTGTGCCTTTCGAAAAAAAATTTTTTTTGCGAAATACTTTTCCTACTATACCTTCCTTCCTTCCATCCATCCTACAACCATAATATATAACAAAAGTAGTAAAATTTTGTGAACTGAATAGGAGAGAAAACGCCGGAACCGGAAGAAGCCGGAAGTAAATAATACGGTTTTAGAAATTATACAGTCGTTAAGCTGACCCCCTCCCCCCACTTCCCTATCTATTTAAACTAAATGATCCGAGTGGGACGAGTTTTTGAAAAATGGAAAATTTTTCCATTGAGTAAAAAGGGGATTTTCCCCGGATGTCAAAGTAAAAGAGAAAGAGAGACGGAGAAAGAGAGAGAGAGAGACCCCATATAGAAGCGAATTAGTCCCGGCCGGTAGTGAAATAATGGCTGAATAGGCTTCTTTAAGAAATAGCGGAAGTCGTCCGGTGAATGAGCCGGAAGTCCCCACTTCGCTGTTTTATGACAATAGCTTATATATGGTACCACACCACGTGGTTCTTCTAACCTACGAATCAAAACATCCTTTTTTTCAAACACAAACGTTGAATCTTAAACCCAAATACAATAAATATATATATATGTATTTACTTGTGAACCCAGCTTTAACTCTAGTGCGGAAGTCTTGCTATTGCATTGCGGGAAATCTCACAGATTTTACGAGAAATAATAAATAAACTTTACCTGTTGAAAAAATAAACATCCGCTTACTGTATATCCACAAAGAATTGTAGAAATTGTGAAAAATACTTGCTTTCATCTTTTTTGAAAGAGAAATACGAAATTTATTGAAACATTTGATTTGGAATTTCGAACAACGAATGCATTTGTCATCAATTATTCAAAATTCATGATGGTCAAATATGGCTTAAATTTAACCTTAAAAATAGGTCAAAACTTGGGTTATCCAAGGTTTAACAATGGTTAACTACGATTAAATATGGGTTTAAGAAACCTAAATGTAGGTTAGCTAAGGTTGATGATAAGTCAAACATGGGTTAAAGATCTATCATCAACTTCAGTGATTGTAACTAAGGTTGAAGTTAGGTCAAACATAGGTAAAAGTATAAAGTTGATAGGTCAAATATGAGTTAACCATGGTTGAAGATTGGTCAAAGATAAGTTAACTAATATCAAAGACAGGTCAAAGATAAGATAGGTTAACTAAGGCTGAAGAGACGTTAAATATAAGTTAAATTAAAGTTGATGATAGGTCAAATATATGGGTTAACTAAAGTTGAGAATAGGTTAAGATTAAACATTAATTAAAAAAATTTAATGATATGTCAAATATTCGATTAATAGTCAAATAGTATTTAATACTAGATTTATTTAATATTAATGGCATTTAATGTTTAATTACTTAATGCGTAAAGTA